AACACCTGGGCAGAACGGTTTAATTTTAAAATATCTATTACTTCATTAATATTCGCTATAATAAATTATAAGTTTGAACGGCAGATAATGTGATTGGAGAGGTTCGTATCATGACGTGATATGATTTTCTTGCTGGCACAATAATATGTGTTTTTTCTTAGTTGTATTTTCCATGATATGATTTTCTTGCTGGCACAATAATATGTGTTTTTTCTTAGTTGTATTTTCCATGATATGATTTTCTTGCTGGCACAATAATATGTGTTTTTTCTTAGTTGTATTTTCCATGATATGATTTTCTTGCTGGCACAACAATATGTGTTTTTTCTTAGTTGTATTTTCCATGATATGATTTTCTTGCTGGCACAGCAATATGTGTTTTTTCTTAGTTGTATTTTCCATGATATGATTTTCTTGCTGGCACAGCAATATGTGTTTTTTCTTAGTTGTATTTTCCATTGCTTAAGTATTTTTGTTTATTTCAGATTTTTCGCGCAAAGCTACACAAAGAACTTCTACGCATAGCTGTCCCTAATTTTAAAGCAATAGACTAAAAGGAAGATGCTTGGTTAACAACACCTACCAGCTACTCTTATCTGGCAGTCATTCTTTATAATGCACCTATGGCCTCAAAGTACGAAGCACACTTTTGCGGCAACGGAATGCGAACGAAATATACACATTCAGCCTTCCAAGTAACACAGATATAGTTAAAACCTCGTTCTGGCATGTTATAATGTTTTCATATATTTTTATATTCGAGGCTTTAGTTATAGTTAAAACCTCGTTTTTAGATGTTACAATGTTTTCATATTTTTTTTTTATTCGAGGCTTTATTTACTTACTCTGGACACTCCTGGGATAACATAATTCTAAATCTGTGTTTACGAGTATTCCTTTGGTAAAATTTTAAAGAGTGGTGACGATTAGATAAATAATTTTTCTATAAGAAATAGTCAAAATACAATTATATCAAAATATATTTATCGTTTTTAGCACACCCCAATACAGTTTCAAAAGTTTTAACTTAACCTATTGAGAAAGCGTTACCTTTATCTAGTGGAACGTTATTTATAGCTAATCAAATTGATTCATTTTAACCTTTTTTTTTTACCTTCTCATAGATATTGCTGGGTTATATATTTTTTTTCACCGTTAGAGATGATATTGTGTAAATAATGAGAAAATGAAATGTGTGTGTGTATTCAGTAGAAAACAACAATTGTTTTAATTTTTATGAAAATCATATTCAGATGAACAAAGTTTGTAGCAAGAACACACCGTAACACCAACTATGTATGTATCACAGCATTGTTGGAAGTATCTCTGATGATGAATAAAATTACAATTGCAATGTATGATCAAGTTATAATATATAAAATATATAGAAAAATAGAAGTTTGTTTACTCCAAAACATGCAATTGTATCATCACAAGATTGGTGTTTTCGGTGATTTGAAAACGTTCTGAACGATATTTGCGCAAATTTGAGAAACTATTGTCTATGTACATTATCATCTTTAGTCTTTTACGGTTTACTGTTGTTTTTATTCATATCTTGAACCACCAAACGGTGGATTTCAGAGTTCACCACATATTGTTCACGCCGCAAGTGTTGAATATTTACACAGACAGTCGAACGCGAGAGAGTTAACGAATTAATGATATAAGACATAATAGAATAGTAAAACGACTGTAAATCTTTAAAATCTAATCTGAAAAGTTTGTAAATTTTGACTAACTTTTTTTTTTAACTTTCAAAGATTTTGTAACTTTAACTGTTTAATTGTATGTGAAACATTTAATGAAGATTAACTCGAATAATTTAATGTTTTCTGTATTGATAGATTCGACCACCAATGTCTCACTGCAATTTTACAACATACAAGGTGGAGAATATGTTCATCGGAGTATCTTTATTAGCCCCCCAGTGGCACAGCGGTATGTCTTCGGACTTACAATGCTAGAAACCGGGTTTCGATACTCGTGGTGGGCGGAGCACAGATAGCCCATTGCGTAGCTTTGTGCTTAATTCCAAACAAACAAGTATCTTTATTAATCGGAGAATGTGCTAGCACACTCTATGTAGGGATGACACGGACGCCCGTATTAAAGCAATACAAATGTCATCTGGAGATATGAATACCTAACATCCGAAAATCCAAAAACAAAAAACCGGAGAATAGCCAAAAACAGAGATTTCTTATTTTGTTTAATCATCATCGTCTTTCTTCAACAGGCCTAGCAACTACCTAATTCTAGCAGTAAGTATAATTCTATTCATTATTTGATGGAGCTAAACAGTCTTTACGATCTCTAACTGCTTATTTTATTATTATTATTATTATATGCCAAATTTATGATGCTTACAATATACTCTAAAACCTGGTAACCCCCGTATGAAAAAATAAACAAACAAGTATTAGATTTAGTGGGTTTGTTTAAAATTAAGCACAAAGCAACACAACAGGCTGTCTGTGCTCTGCCCACCACGGGTATCGAAACCCGATTTCTAGCGTTGGAAGTCCGAAGACATACAATTGTGCTACTGGAAAAAAATTATCGTTAAATTAAAAAGTTATGTAGGGCTAACTACTGAACCTGAAAAGTGAACCAAACAAGACAGAGAACGAAGTAGAAATATCACTTCATCCAGCTAATAATCACATAGCAAACTAAGCCGTCTCGACTTTACATGGAGAATAATGGAACAAAATCCCTATATTACCGGTTTCCTCACTGGCAAAACAAATAGAACCAGAAATTTATAATCGTAAAATGCTGCTCTATTGTAAAATAGTCATAAAAGTATTCTAAAGCTAATTGAAGGAAAGGTATAATGATGAAAGCTGACATTCTATTCAAACACCAAGCTTTCGATACACAAAGTCTGCCATGTGATCATTAGTTGGATCAAGCGATATGTCCAGTTCCATCCCTATCTTGTTTGGTTCTTTTAAAATAGTAAATATATAGGTTGCTTCCATCACAACCTTGGCATCAACATCACTATGTAACTTTTAAGTAGAATTCTTTGGGATGTGTTCAACGTGTTATCAAAATCATCAACACACACTAAATAAAGGATATGGGAATAAGTTTATCCTGTGATCTTGGCCAAAAGAAATTATATAACTACATTTTAGATTTAGGTTTTGAGGAAACTGGTGCCAAATGATCTTGGCTAATAAGATGTAAACACATCATATGTATAAAATTTTGGGATACGGTTTTTGGTATCAAGATGTAACCATATTCTAGATATCAGAGCTGGAGGTATATTATAAATGCAATCAATATGTAATTAGACACTAATTTCACCAAACGTTTGTGTCACCAAGAGGATTTAAACACATTCTATTCTATCAGTGTACGATTGTGGCTATCAATGTGATGGTATGTATGATCTTGGCCACTAATTCTATGTACATGAATGGGGAACAAAGTGTATATGCCCTGACCTTTTAGGAGGTCCCATTCAATGAGTTATGTATTTGGCATCAGAGTTATCAACATTTCATGTTACCCTACATTGCTGATTTTCAACAGTTCATGTCAGAGTAAAGAAAATACCAGATACAACATAAAAGAATAATAATAAAAAAACTTGATATGCAATTTGGAAGTTGTAGAGGTTATGTGCAAATGCAATTTGCAAGCTGTGTGATGGACAAAAGTATTTTTATTCTTCACATAATAAATATCATTTCTTGAAGATACATTTCATAAATTCAGAATTATAATCAACATTACTATTACAGTAGATGGGTGGTCAAATGGACAGACCTTGTGCATATTCAGTTACAGTTAAGATGATGTTACCTCATTCTTTGTGGAAGGAAATATGTTCATCATTTATTCTTAGTTACCAACATCAAGTAACTGCATTCTAGGCAAGGAGTGTATAGTTATATTCACCAGATGGCTCTAGTCATCAATATAAGGTAACTACGTCCCCATAGAGGAGAGAATTTTACTTATTAAATGATTCTGACAAATAATGGTCAGGTAATTTAAAATTCTACACTCCTCTATACCCTCTAATTTGTCAAGTAACAAACAAATGTAGCTTCAATATAATAAAACCTGAAATACAAAGATATGATTCAAATTACCTTTATTAGGACTGATGAAGGTCTTTTGGCTGAAATGTTGACCACTTAATCCATTCACCTTATATTAATTTTGACCCTTTTTTCTACATTATTTTCAGATTCTGTCTCTCTCTATCTTCTGCTATTTATATTTTCATTGTGCAATTCTTGTACTTAAACTATTTTGTTGCTAACTATGAAATGGTAGGTGCAATAAGCGGAGTAACAACTTACAAAATATAAGTATCAGCCACACATATGGAGAGGTTACACATTTTATTATTTAATTAACATAATAAACATGTCCTTCCTTTTACATTTCCTCTTTGAAATATTAATCTAATTTAAATTGCTTTCATACTACATTTTTTGTGACCAAATTGCTGACTACTAGTCTATAGTAATACTGCAGTGACTATTTACATCAGAATATATTGTTGTGATATCATGTGTTTAAAAGTGCTTTAATATCTCTACAACTTAGTAGTGATAAAAACATTAAATTTTTTTCTTAATGTTCAGTTATATAACAATGTAAAATCAATGAGGTAATTTTATAAATATCCAATGCTATTTAGAAAAAGTTAAAAATAAAAATAATTTTATTCTAACACAATTATTCTAGTTTTCAAGAAACTTATAAACTTATGTTTTCAGAAATTTTAAAATACACTCATTAAGAAAATGTTATCCTACATTTCATATAAAAGCTACAAATCTAATGATATTTCTTTTTTCAGAATCAAATTCACGTATTTATATATTGAAATCCAAGAAGTCCAGAAAAACTTGGTTACATTTTTTCTCCTCTCAGTCTAATTAACATTCATAAAGGTTGGTTTATTACAAAATATTAAACTAGTTACTTTAAAAAGTATATGTACAATGCTTAAAAAAGTTTTAGTCTTTACAAAAATATATCTAATACTATATTTAATACTATATCTATGATTTATTATTTTACAACCTTACAATAAAAATATTAAAAATCCTTTAAACATCAATCAAATTATGAATATTTACACTTTACATACAATATTTGTACCTCTGTTTTGGAAAAACTCTTACAAAAATGTGACAAACAACAAATGTGATATATAATCTTTTCATGAATATATAAAAAAAGAAACATTAACCATGATTCAGTTAAAATAAGCCTGAAAGAGGTTTGATAGTTTAATATACACTGAAAAAGCAAATTTACTAGAAAACAAAGCACTTTTTCACCACTTGAGTACACTTGCAGAAAAACAACAACTTTGGCATGAATGTTTTTTGTTACATGGAAAATGGCTTGCATGTTTTGTGGATGTGAATTCAAAAAAAGCAGAAACAATTACCAATAGTTAAATACAGCAGTAGATAAGACTTCTCAGAAAAAGTGGTAGATATTAATTAAATAAAACCAATATTATAAATTCATGGATTTTCTTTGATGTTTTCCTTTACTAAAATATTCTTATAACTGAACATTTTACTGGCACAATCTATATAAAAAAAATTTCTCAAACAATCTATTTCTTTACTTGGGACAAAATAAAAGACTGTAGTCTTCATGTTGTAACATTTCAAAGTATATGATACCTCAAGTTATCTTAAATGTAAGGCGCACTTAAAATTTCATAAGTCTATTTTAGCTACCAATTATAGAATGTTTGATCACTTTCACACTGACAGACATCCCAACTTTCAAAATCATGTTTAACACCAGGAGGATTTGGGTATAAAGTCAAGTTCCACACCAGACACTGCTGATAAGGAAGAGAGGCCACTGTTTCGTTTACTCTCTGGTGTTGAGTTTGAGCTACTCTGCAAAGCTGCTGTGGAAGTTGTGGACAATGACCACTGGTCAGTAGTAGCTGGACTAATGCTGAGACAATCTGTACTATTATGAACACCCAGTTTCTTATCTGGAATACATAACTGGTTCAAAAATGCTGGGTTACATGCTTCAACCATTACAGCTTCTTCAGTGTCTGTTAAAAGCTCAGTTGGACTAGATGGTAACTGATGAGGGTCACAGTTGACCACTGAGATACAAGGTGAGGGCACTAGACCATTCTTTTTCACTGGCTTGAGTTTGTTTTTATGAAGCACTTCCTGTATTGGTTCAGAATCCACATTTACAGAATTTTTATCTGTCAAAGATTTTTTCTTTCGCCGAGATTGAGGAAAGACCTGAGCATATAGAGGGGGTGGTGAGCTATTAGAGAGAGAGGCATTCTGCTGGGTTTTTGCTTTGGTTCTTTTGTCATTAACTGTTAAAGGTGATCTTTTGGTTACCAGATCAGCATAGTTTAATGGCTTTGAAACAGTCATATGAGCTCGTATTGGTATTTCATATCCATCGTGGTCAGTTAAAGAAACACTGTCTGCTAGAAGATCCAGGTATTTAGCTTTATTGCTGTCAGCTGTTGGTCCAGATGAACAAGGCTGAGTTTCTATTACTCTGTTAGGGGTTGTAAAGGAATCTGCTTCCTTGAAACCAAAATCGAAAAAAAAAGAAGTGAAAAAGGAGCTTTAAAATAATGTATTTGGTATATAGTATTGCAAACATAAGTCAAAGAACTATCTTATAATTTATTTTATACACAATGAAATTTTAACTTCATTACATTTTGAGTGAAATAGAAATATTCAAAACACAAAATTGATTTTATTTACAATTCTGGTGTACAAAACTTATTTCACTACTGCTTAAAATAAATTGACTTTAATTTGACTTTCAAGAACATAGATGAAAATCCACATTACATACTAATCACTCCTAAAAATTCATACAATTATTCTAATGTACATTTGATTTGTTTAACTTTTAAATCAGACAAAAGTTTAATCTTCACCCTCTGTTCTCTTAATAAAATCCCAATTGTCGTCTATTATGCTACACAAAATAACTATAATATATTTTTAATTCCATAGAAGTATCTGTAGTATTTGATTCTGTTGGTAGGTGGGACTTACTTGCACTTCTCCATTCGTGTAATCAATATCAGAAGAAGGATGTTTTACCACTAACAGTGGCTGTTCCACTGAACTGGCAGATCCCAAATGATGATTTTCTCCACACTCATGAGGGGGACAGGGAGTTCCTGCAAGACACAATTTACATCATTTTAGTGCTTGCAACTAAATCAGTTACATCAAAATCAGGAATACACTGAATGAAAACCGAATTCAAAAATATGCTTTAACATCTAAGAAGTATTTTTCTGAGGTTGAATCTACCTCAAAAGTGTCTTTTTTAAAAATAAAGAATTTGATGGCTTTTTTAATGAATTTCTTAATTTCTAAATTAAGTTTCAAACTGTTTGTAAATCGTTATCATCATAAATGTGAAATAGCTTCAATTTATAAAAAGAAAAATGGATGTTCCATCAGTAAGAATATCTTTTCATTTCACTAGCCTGTCCTGTAGACATGTTCTTTTATACATATTTTATAAACTGAAACCTAAATTTAATAAGCTTGTAATCATGTTAATCATACCATACACTAGAAAAACAAAGTTTTTACTGTGTTTGGACATTTATTATTAATCACTATCGATTGTACCATGACCTTTGCAGAAAACTGCAAGCTGGTAAAACACAAGAAAAAGTAAAGGTATAACATCAACATAGCACTAACATCATTATCACTATAACAGCAATTCAAAAGAAGTCTATGTTCAAAATCTGATGACCAATGGTGTAGGAGTTCATTTTATGTAAAATCATAATATCTACAGAATGATAAAGTCCAAACTAACTTGTCAGGCAAGTTATCAAGTTAAAGACACTGAAACAATTAATACATTTAGCCCAAAACTTAATCATTGCTAAACCCTCTCTTGCCAGTGATACAGTAAATCAAGTAGGTTAGCTGTGACCAGATTAAAACAATGTGTACCTTGTATCTCAGGTTGACGTTCATCTTGACGGTATGCTAGGTTGTCAAAGGCACCTGCTAAAGGACACACAAAAACAACATACATGCTGAAAGATAAGCATAGCAAGCAGCTTCAAGCTATTAATACAAGCAGGAAAATGCTTTAGAATCAGACTTGCTAAGAAGAGTTTCAGTATTTTTGCAACGTATAAGCATACAGCTATAATTCATTCCTCAACAAGTGATAATAAATATGGACATCTAAAGAATCATGCCAAGAATAATTCCTCTAACTACAGCTGAACAAACTATTGCACTGTATAGCAGTAACAATGAATCTCAAGATGCAAGCTATAAGACAACTGAATAACTACATCAAACTGTTTTGAACAAAACACTCCTGGATTATGGAAACTAGGGAGATTTTAGACTTATATCATTCCTATTTTTCCTAAAGTTAAACATGGGAAACACGTGTCGAAAATGTCTTCAAAATTAAAAATAAAATTTTTCACAGGCTTTTGATTCACTCAGTAGATGTCAGTACACCTCTCTCTTTTTTTCACAATTCTGAAAAGTTTAAACATCAAACTTGACTATTATTTTTTATCAGTTCTACTATTTATATAGTTCATTAAGTTTTATTCACCGAGTGTTTTGAATCAAACCTGAAACTAAATCACAGGTTATTTCTCTAAAATTATTCAAAACTGCAGCAGCCATACTTTAACTATTCAAAATGTTTTCAGTCCATTTATAGATTAATTACAGACTTTAAACTTCATAGAATGTTTCAGTATGTTCTAAGGATTAATGATTTACTTTAAGCTGTATAGAATGTTTAGTTATTATAAGGCCTAATAATAGATTGTAAACTGTATAGAATGCTTAAGGACTTATATTAAAAATAAAACACAAATAATAAAGAAAACTTTTTACTATTTCCATGAAAAACTTGACTATACTTTTCATTCTTTATATAATGAATGTTTAATGAAACTACAAAATATTCTTTTTTTAACAATAAAATCTATGCAAATACTAACTGTTAAAATTCTGAGCCATGTAATGATGGTTGTGAACTGTGTTCACTGCTGCTGTTGTTTCATCTCCCTTATTCTGGAGATCTGTCAGAACTTGGAGACACTCTCCAAAGTTAGGCCTACCTGATGGATCATAGCTCCAACACCATAGCATTAGTTGGTGTCTACAATAAAAACAAGTGAAACTTTTATACAGTATGCAGTCAAATGCAAGCTTAACATATAAATAGGATAGAACAACACAAAGCTAGATTTATTAAATTGTCTGAAAACAGATATATAAAGGAAATACAAGGTTCACAATGTTGTGCACACACATTAACAAGGAAGCACATGAGCATTTAACATACTGTCAAATTATTTTTCTCTTTTGATCCTCATTTTTAACCTTTCTACTAAATTGTTATTTCTAGTGCGTACTAGGATTAGAAATACTTCAGACATTTTCAAATAAAAGAAGGCATCTTTAGTACTTATGTGTGTCATCTGACTTAGTCAGATTTTAACAATCAAAAATTTAGAATTGCTAATAGATTAATATTTCCTCTTTAGTAAGCAATATATTTCAAGCAAAAAATACATAACAACAACTGCTATATAAAACAAAACTGAAATCTTGGAAAAATTTTGCTGTACCTTCTGAAATGTAATAAAGTTGTTTAAAATAGCTAAACTCACCTAATTATGAATTTATATTGTCAACAATGGATTAACTTTTTACAAGTTCTGTGTGCTTATTATAAATTTAGAAAAACATTTCATGTTCTCTTGTTTTTATGGTGGACAAAATAATAAATGTAAATTGGCCAATTTGCATCCAAGCAATGATGAAAAGTTGTCAATAAGATTAATAATGGTAAACTATCAAGTACAAATCGTAAATTAAAATTTCTTTTTTTTAGCAGATTTACCTGGTATCAATTGAAACAAGAGATTAAATTCAATTTTTAACTGAAACATGGTGGCTTATAGAATAGCTCCAAGTTTTTATTCAAGTACAAACTTTTAGCTCATAGCTCCGACATCTCTTGATTGATTTGAGATCTAATTACAGTTTTGGAGGTTAAACCCTTTCGATTCATACATTTGACCATGCCCAAAGTCTCATAGATTAATTTACTCTAACCCTCCCTAATATAATTTCAATTTGATGGTAAGCTGGTAGAGATCCTGATGAATAATAAAATCGAATCTGGTATACAAATGCATCACGCTTGGTATTGCTGACACACAAAATATAGCTAATAAAAAAGGAGAAAAAAAAAGTCTCATAGATCAATTTACTCTAATCCTGCCTAAAAGAATTGCAAGTGCCACAGCTATTGAGGATTCCCTCTTGTTTTTAATACAGTATGAAACTTTAAAAAGTAGAATTCAACAAGTCAAAATAGCAAGCAGTTTATAACAGGTAAAACACATTTCTATACTCCCACCATCAAATGTATGACAGGCATGTACAATTTCTTCTTGCGCTGTGCTATAAGTTACATTTCCTTGATAAAATTTGATATTAAAATACATCTATATAAAATATTATTAAATTACATCAAAAACATTTTTGCACACAACCAAAATCATTTTATAACCAATGACTTTTTATGACATACATATTTAATTTTTTTCTATCAGAGATACACTTGAGCCATGCTATAAACAACTGATTTGTTAGATCAGTTTTGATTTTTTAGACACCTTAGATACAAACAAAATGAGCTATTTATGAAGAGCTAACATTAACTCTCACTATTAGCATGCTAGTATGTGTAATATCTTTCTTTCAAATGAGTCATACCTGATTTAAATGTTAGTATTAAAGCCACTGTGGTTACATTTCAAAACAGTGCATGTGTGATCAGTTGAAGTATCATGAGCATGTTATATAATATTTCATATCAATCATTCACAAGGCAGCATATGCTTTTTTGATTTGTTGAGATGTTGCATAAAAAAATATATAAATATGTTCAGGAACCCCTTTTTTTTAAATATGTGAATGAAACCCCAACAAATAAAGCAAAGAAAAAATAAAAACAAAGCAACCATAATGATAAGTACGATGAGAATATTTTTTAAAAGTTTTACAATCATTTATATATCTGTAGAGCCATTCAAAATTAAGGAAACAAACATATATGTATAGTAATGATATATGTACTGAATAAAAGTGAAAGTAATCCCTACATACAGATTCTACTTAAGAAATTAAGGCGAGGACATGTCCAAATACGGTAACAGTATAAAATTATGTATAGGACTTACAAATCTTCATGACAATTATCTGGTCGATCAAGGCGACCTCTGTTTCTGACATAATGTAGCACCTCTAGATTTGTACGTGCTGGGTAAGGTTGTTGACCCAAGGTTAAGACTTCCCATAATAAGACACCAAAGGCCCTAGAAAATATATATATTTTACATGAACTTTTCAAACAATACACACATTAAAAACAATTACATCACTTGTAATGTGTTTCATTCCAAAAAAGTGAAAGATTTATTTTAAAAATGTATTCATTTTTCTTTTCTCTTCATTGTACATAAATATCAATATATTTCCTGTGTTCATGGTAAAAACTTTTCCAATAATTTTTGAACAACACTTTCTTAAAGAATTATGTTAAAAACATCAGCTTGTTTTATTTGTTTGAATTTTGATGTGGAATGAGCAATACTTACCAAACATCTGACTGATTAGTGAAAACCCCATCCACTAATGATTCTGGTGCCATCCAGCGAACAGGAAGTAAACCTTCCCCTTCTTTACGATAGTAATCATTTTTATAAATATCTCGAGCTAAACCAAAATCTCCAATCTTGACATGACGGTAAAGTGGATCATGGCTTGACACCAGACAGTTTCTAGCAGCTAAATCTCTGTGCAAAACGATTGTGACAAAATGTTTACACAGATTTATACATGTAAAACTCCAGCATTTAAACGTGTATGTGCAAACTGATTAAGTAAAATATTTATACAGAAAGTACACATATAGATACTTTAGCAGCAAAACGTCTATGTGAATTAAGTAAAAAGTTTATTGAAAATACATTTGTTTAAAAAACCACACATTTAATTATGTTTGCAACTAATAATCAAAACTTAAAACTTCTAAAAATATATCTAATTTATGTATATGATATTTCAAATTCTTGTTAAGTTACTTTTTTATTTCAGGTATTGGTCATTTAAAAGGATTAAATTCTTATAACTTTTTTTTCCAGATCAGAAACCCAACTTACCTGTGAACAAAGTGCATCTCTTCCAAATAAACACAACCTCTAGCAACATCAATGCAAATTCCTAACAAGTCAGTCATTGTAAGTGGATTTCTTCCAAAAAGCTATCAAAAATAAGTCCAGAGAGATAAATAACACATCTTACAAACTTCTTCAGAAACATATCATATCAGTAGTAAAGAATGTCACTCACTAATTATTAATAAACTCAGGCAGGAAAGTTTTGTTTAGAATGTTACATTTTGTCATTGAAAGTTAAAGTTTAAAGATGTTCATCATTCCAGTTACTATAAGTAAAAACTCAAGTGAAAAAACTTTAGCTTTAACCTAACACATTCATGCCAACTATCACAACATATGAAATATCTTTTCAATATATTAATGCAATCCCCACAAACATACAATAGCATAAACACCTAATTACTTTACAAAAAGTAGTATAAACAAAACACATGTCATATTTTGGATATACAAATTATTATTTAGTATAATAGTATATTTGGAAGAAAAAGAAAAAGAACTAACAGTAAAAATCTGTTATTCAAAGTAGAAAATGAAAACATATATGTCCCACAATAAACAACAGATGGAAAAGTAACAACCTATGTAATAATATATATATAAGCAATAACTGTAAAAAGAAAAACACTGTAACACATTTATTGTTTGTATAATACTATACAGATAATAAATGTAAAAGGAAAAACCCTGTAATACTATACAGATAATAAATGTAAAAGGAAAAACCCTGTAATACTATACAAATAAGTGTAAAAGATGAAAACCTGTGTATCAATATTCAAACAATAAATGTAAAAGGGGAAAACCTGTGTATCAATATTCAAACAATTAATGTAAAAGGAAAAGGCTATGTAACAGTATTCAAACAATAAATATAAAAGAGAAAGCCTGTATAACAGTGTAGCAACAAATGTAAAAGTGATAACCTGGATAACACTACACAAACAATAAATGTAAAAGTCTGTGTATTACTATAGACACAACAAATGTAAAAATCCTTGTATCACTATACAAACAGTAAATTTGAAAAAGTATCACTGTATAAACACTAAAAGTAGCAACTTTGTATCAGTATGCAAATAATAAATGTAAGCATAAAATAGTTCACACTTCCAAACTCTACACAACAAAATAAAGTCCTAATATGTAAATCTCCTGGACAAATACCAGTTAATGAAGTCACACAACTTACATGTGCATTTCTATTGGAGCGAAGATACGACAGCAAATCACCTCCTTCCATAAGCTCCATGATAATAAAATTTGGATTATTGTCAAGACAAATCCCCAGAAGCTGAAGAATATGCTCATGTTTAAAGTTACTGGATAGAAAAACAAAATAGAATGTTATTACATCATCAACCATCTTGACACAAATTACTTATTTAGTTTGAACTAAATGCAATAAGTTAACTTAGTAAAAACAACAATAAAGGTTCATGTCAAATTTAAAATGTTACAAACGTAATTAACCTCAAAGACACCAGAAAGATTGAATTTAAGAACTTAAACTTCTAAGATAGAACATGAGATTTAATACACTAAAGAAACAAACCTCATTAACTTGGCTTCTTTCAGGAATTCTCCTTTTTCTTGATCTGTAGCACCTTTCCGTAATGTCTGTAAGTGAAAGAAAAGAAGAAGAAGACTGTCTATATCAACTGTGTGAAAGAAAACTGGAAGCATACCAAGTAATTTTGAACAGCTTTTCCTTTTTCTTAAAACTATCAAGTCTTCAGTCAAATCCACTTTTGAGACATACAGATAGAGAAAAATCAATATATTACCTCATAACAACAATTAACTTGTTTTTTTAGCACAAAGCAACATGATAAGGTAAATGCACTCTGTGCATCATAGAGAAATGAACCCCAATATTTTAGCATTGTAAGTACATAAATTGGGGGAATCATCAATTAGAAGTTGTAAGCACATTAAATAATTTCACTTTATCACTGGTTTTGGGGTGATAAAGAAACAACAGAACATAATCAACTTATTTGTTAAAGCAACATATGAGATGAAATTGTATTTTATAACTCCCCCAAAAATTGTACAAAAAAACAACAAGCAGGAAGTGATTTTACACAAGCAAACTTTGAGTTTCTTTTAATCATATTATGTAATAATCAGGGTTTTCCTGCAATCACTAAGAACAGTGATTATTAATTACTCCTTTTTAAATAATGAAATTACAAATATAATTATAAACGAAAACAAACTCTCACACTTCAACCCATCAAAAAACTAAAACTTGTTGCAAAAAATCTTCACTGAACTGAAAGATCTGATAAATCAATAGAATAAAGCTTCAAAATTAAAGTTTTTCTTGATAAATGTAGTTTAACTTAATTCAGTCCTACCTTAATAGCAACTTTAGTTGGGACTGACCCCTCTCCCTCTAGATCATGAGCAACTCCTTCAAACACCTCTCCAAATGCGCCACTTCCAAGAAATTTTGTAAGTACAATCTGCTCCCTACGAATTTGGGGTAGTATTGCCAGCTCCTCATCAGTTGGAATGTCTCTAAAAGTAGATTACACTGTTATCCACATAATTATATTATAAAAATCTAAAGCAAATAATCAAGCTAAACCATATTCATTCTAACATTCTATTAAGCTGATGTTTTCTACAAAGTAACTATAAATTTAACTACACTGCTGAATACAACTAATTTGATCATGACAATTAAAGGTTTAACCTTTCAATATGATTAAGTAATTCTTCTGTTCATCAACTCAGTACAATTATACATGTTTCTTCCTACTAACTTGGACTTTTGCTCAGTTAAGATTTAGATGATGAATGAGGTTTCTTTTAAAATATTATAAACCTGGATTCTAATTGAATTCATTGTTTTATCTAATATGAATGTGGATTAATTTTACATGTTTTACAGTGCATATAAACTAAATAATGCTGTTTCTAAATAACTTACTCCAAGGCATAAAGAGCATTGGTCTGGTGCACAAAGTTACTGTGGTGAGGTAACTCCCTGAGAGTTGCTAGCTCCAGATCTGTGTCTTGGAATCGTCGTCCTGCCTCTTGAAGCATCTTTTTATCATTTTCTCTTCTTTTACGGACTGTAAGATATCCCAACATTTTAATGAACTTTTAACTAACCTCTTTCACTGGATAATAGAAGAGAGGTTAATCTTTGAATTGAATATAAGAAATGAAGACTTCAGCTTCCAAAATGCAAAAATTAATTGATCATTTATTATTTGTAACAGACAGTAAGTAAAACAAAAAAATGTTTACTACTAAAATCATCCTATTTATAGATACTAGTTATATAAAGTGTATTTATGCTAAACTTACCAAGAATAACTGCTGCACAAAGAAACAGTATGATGAGAAAGACAGCAGATAACGAACTAGCAAGAATAATTGCAATTTCCTCACCTTCTTGAGTGGCTAAAGCTATAAAATTGATACAGAAAATGAAATATCTTACTACTAAAACATCTATGTATGACTTCATATTAAACACACCAGTAAGCAAAATATAGAATTTTTAAAGGGAAGAAATATTTTGTACGAATGAAACTCAGAGAATACTTTCTGATCAAAATAACAAGTTTCTCCATTTTTAGACAGTTTTAAGTATACTTTTAATAAAACTTTAAAAAATAATCACTTAAGTATATAAAACTGCTAACACTGGTTACAATGTAAAACCTGCACCATTCTTTAGGTTCTCTAGAATATACCACAAAAACTTCAGCTGTCATTTCCTATTATTGTAACTAACAATTCTTCACTTCTGACAGTTTTAGAAATTACTCTAATTATCCTATTACAATTTCTATCTTATAAATGTTGTCAAAGTAATAAAAAAAAGTTAAAATTATCATACTAAATTCACTTACCACTAGGTTCTGGTAGGAAGAAAGATTTACTTTCAGTGCTGAAATTACTAGAACCATAGTTGTTGATAGCTCGAACTCTAAAAATGTAATTTACTTTTGCAGGTAATCCCTCAACGATCCACATATTGTTGGAGTTATTATAAACTGTTCTCCAGGTGGTCTCATTGTCATCAACCTTAAACCAAGATCTGAAGTAGACATAACAAAAAAACAATGTTAGAAAGTATATATTTTTTAGAAATACTTTTCTAATAATAATAATGAAAGTAATACAATATCAAAATTTAGAGAGTATAAACAAAATGAATTAACACATAAGACCCTGTGTGATTACATTAAAATATATAAATCTCAAACTTAAGCAAGTCATAGTTCTACTAAGAAAATAAAGAAATTTAAGTGCCATTATTAACTCAAATTTTCTGTAATGCATATTTCTATATAATAATTGTACTTATAAAGTCAAATTGCAAAAAACACAATTAATTAAAAACCTTAGCCACCATTATGATTTCATTAATCACAATACGGTTTCACATTTCTACAGAAATAACTAAGAAGCTACTTTAATTTCTTTACTCATATGCATACAGTGCAATGAAAAACGTTAAAAACAATTATGACTGAAAAAGTCTGAGAAAAGTAGTGTGACTTTCTTTGATTATGAAATGATGACATATAATTACCCTGATTTTTTTGCAATACCTACTAAATTACCCTGATTTTTTTGCAATGCCTACTAGTTTCAGCATGATACTTACCTGACTTGCAGTTCATACAAAAGATAATCTCCTCCATTAGCAGAAACTTCATCCCAGACAACCTGGTTAACACTTCGTCCAACATCACGTACATAGGGAGGCCCAGGTCCTAGGGGCTGGTCTCCTAGTGTTTCAAATTCAAAACCAGTCTCTGGCCAAAGAAAAGTAGTGTTTTTGGTGTTTCTATAGAGCAAAATCAAGCGCAGCAGGTATTTTGCTTTGGGTAGAAGAGAAACCAGTTTGAAGTCATAATATGTGGAAACTTCTGTAGTCTGAATGTCTAATGGGTTCCAGTATCCACTTTCATCCTAGAAAAGAAATAATTTGACAATTATTTTTATATTTATTTTAACAGTAAACATTTTGTACTAAACTATTTTTCTACAATTCCATTTTAAATTGTTTGGTGTTTGTAAAAATATATTTTCAATAACATTATGTGTGTCACAATAGCTTACAGTGGCACTAAAACTGCCCTACATAAAGCAACAGCTAAGTGACATTAGAAAACTAAAAAAAAAGAATTTTATTAATAGTTAAAAAAGATATTAATCTACTGAGTTACAAAAAAACAAAAATAAGCCTCGACTTATTGGGTCCTTGAAGAAATGTTTGCTACCCATGAAATGTGAAGATATATACAAATTGTTGAGTTATATTTCTTTTAGATTTTACTGATGTTTTAGAAATCATGTGTCTTATAATCAAATTGCTTTGAATAATATTCACTAATAGTTTTTTAAAAACTATGATACATAAGTATTAGTGAAGTGAAGTAATGCCTCTCTACAGTTTTTATTCTGCTCACCTATAGATCTGGAATATTATTAATATTTGTAAATATTGTTAAATAGTTTTAACCAATAAACTTATTTTTAGATAATTAAAAGTAGGGTGCATCACTGTATCCACCTAGCCTACCTTTTTTCATTCTATAAAAACATCTTGACAAGGTAACTTGATAAAACATTGTGATGTTTTAACTTGTCATAAAAAATCTGTTTTAATCATTCAACTATCAACAACAAATTTATTAAGATCCCATTATAGAACTGCCACAAGTTAATTACTTAATAAGTGATGAGATTTTGAACAGTACTTTTGAAGACATGTGTTAAACATAAATATTATTTTAAATAAACATGCGAGTCACAAGAAAAAGGAATTAATGAAACTACTCACATCTCTATTAACATACTCCAGCCTATGTTGTATAACTTCTCCTTGATAGGGAGAAAGCCACTGTACTAGTAAAGAGTTGGAAGTAGCAGAAACCAAGGACAGGTTACTTGGAAGTGGAAATGTGGAGACTTCTACTTCTTCACTGTCACTGTCCCCTCCAGAGGAGCATGCTCTCACCTACAGATATCTCACAAAAATCCTGATTGTTGCTGAAAGCTTTTGCATTACTAACTATATATTTGCTACTCTAACCCTTTCAAATGGGAGCCCCATTTCTACACAAATCACCATGTTACATTTAAAATTTAATAAAACACCTTTACTATCAATGTATGTGAATAAAATTAATATTACAATGAACGTTACAATCTGAAGTTTTATTTTATCCAAGTTTTAAGTTCTTTATTTGAAAATAAATCTTTAAAAACTAATTAAAACTTCAGATGGATTGCCACGTGACCAACGAGCTATGAAAATTCTCTACTTTGGCTCCCTGTATCTTCAATAATACAAGGAGTAGAAGTATGTCTAAACAATCAATTGCTTAAATAACCTTTTAACTCATTCATTTCAGAGTTCTCTGAATGAATACAGTTGAAACAAGTAATACATTTTTTTAACCCCTGACAGGTGCCATGCCCACTCATGGAGGAACAAAGATATAATGGTTATGCTTAACTAACAACAGATGTTACTGAGAATATTGTGAATAGGTTCAATAAATGCCGTAAAGCTGAGTATAGACCAGTTGACAAGATTAATACTTCAGTAAAGTTATAAAATAAAACAAATTCCATAAAATGTAAAATGTACGTGTTTATAAGCAATGTTGAACTGTTACTTCTTTATAACAGCATACAACTATTTAGCAGGTTACATGGAGTTTTAACAATGAGTACATACCACAATAAAATATGTAGTGTCTGCATTCAGAGGAAACAAAGACATCATCAACCTGTCCCCAATTGAGGAATGTTTTTTTGCAAAAACAAGTGAGTGATCCGTTTTTTTTGTTTTTAATCTCACTTCATAGGTTATTGGGTCACCATTTGGAATGATAGGTGGACTCCAGGAGACGTCAATTCTCATGGGAGTAATTGTTTCTCCTTGAACATTAAGTGGTTGTGAAGGAACTGCAAAAGAAAGTTTATTATTTATTTTCCTTTAGCTGAAAGTAACATTCATCTCAAAAACAATAGTTTATTCTATAATATTACATTGCATATGTAATACATAGTTAGCAAAAAAAGTCAAATGGAAAGTCTGATGGAAGTCCCATAGAATTCTCAAGTAATTTCTAGTACAAATTGAACAGAAGCCATTCAAAGACAAAACCAAAATTAACACTTATGTACCGAAATATATATATATATATATATATATATTGGATAAGCAGAGAGACATTTTGGAGCTAGACTTACAAAATACTAAAACAACAGTAAACTCAACCATGCTGAAATCAATTTGAATCAGAACATCTAATCAATGGGAAAAACTACAAGTTACTAGAAAATGAAAAATTCTAGAAAACATGAGAAATCAAAAAGCCTTCTACATCAACATCAAAACCTGGAAGTAATATAAAAAAAAAGTGTAGTTTATTCCAACGTGTCAAAAAGTTTATAAAAAACATTCAATATTTTAAAAAAACATGAAATCCCATTGTGTAATAAAACATCATTATAAGGCTATATACAAGATTTAAGTGACTTTGAGAAACAGCAATCCTTGTAATGGAGTTAATTTTATCAAAATCCTTTCTTAAATATATTAAACATTTCACATTTCGTCCTTATTTGACTTCAATAAACAAATTCTCTGTACTTATTACTAACAAATACACTTATTATTTGCTTAATTATGAGATTAAAAGTACTACAGGTTATAAAGAACTTTTGCTTACCTCCTTCTTTAGTCTGGAAGCTCACAGCTGGACCAGCAGCTGAAGGACCTAGAGAGTAGTAGTTACTGTTTCTTACTCGTAGTGTGTAGTTGGTGAATGGAGAGAGGTTCTTGATCGTAATTGTGTTGTTATAGGTTTTCTAAAATAAGTTAACATTATAATCATTATTAGATTCCTAAACAGCTAAGAGGTTTGAAGAATATAACTTTTTTGTACTAAAAACAAGAAGTTGATTTAAACAAATGAAGATAAAAATCAGGTTTCATACATTTTATTATATGAAAATCACTGGTAAATATAAATGAAAGATTTTAAATTAATCAACCAGTTATTATGGTTTCCTCTAATACTCCATGAATTATCTTGTTAAATACCAGAAAATAGCAAAGAGATTGTGCTTACTACTCATAAATACTCAACAGAAATTATGTATACTACAGCTTATCTATCATGTTGCTACATTACCTGGAAAACACGAAATTACCAAAATGCTTCATTACTGCAGTACACATAAAAATATAAGAAACAGCATGCTTAATACTGTGATAAAAACAAACTGAGACAAAGTAATAACAGAAATACAACAAGAAAATGACATGCTTTTGAAATTAAGTAAAACAATGAAAGAATGACGTGCTTTGACATTAACAGAAACACACCGAGAGAATGCAGTACAAAAAACCCACCGAGATAGTGATATGCTTTGACACTGTATAATAAAAATACACTGAAATAGTGATATGCTTTAACAATGTAAAAGAAAAATGCTGAGACGATTCCATTAAAACACAATTAAACATTGTATTAGAACTTTGACATAATAAACTGTAGTTTTAAAATGATCAATAATTACATTATTTAAATTACATGAAACTTTCTTAAACTAATAATAAGAGGAAAATGTTAGTTCAAAAAAGATCTATTAATCATATAATAACTTTAAATATATACAGTCTAACAAAAAAATGTTTCTGACCACTGCCAATATTATACTTACAGCAGTTTGGCACTCTCTCAAGTTTTCCTTGCATTTGCTACCATCAGATTCTCCATAATACACTGTGTATAACACAGATGCTAGAGACACCTTACGACAAGATAATGGAAGGTCCTCTGGTGGCAGAAATAATGTTAAAGATGAAGAGGTAAGATGCTGGAGTTGAGCTTTTCTGCTATATAGTGGAGGGACAAGGCACTTGCGACCTATTGAAGCCAAAGAACTGTTATCAATATAAACTATAGAAAAATCTCATAGAAAAGCATTAGTAACTGAAACAAGTGCATTGTTTAAAAAAAACCAGTTTCAACAACAACAAAAAAAAAGTTGCTTGAAGTCTGTTGTTTTTCTAAAATACAAGTACAAATGAATAAGAGCAGAAAATAATTCTTGAAGTGGAATTGGTACAGTTCCGAAACTTCATTTTTCAAAGATATAGCCCTTAATTTAAATCATTATGATTAATTTAAACCAAAATGTCCACAGCCATAGATCTCTATATAACTAGGTTACAAAAGAACTTCCATATTTCAGTTTCTGAAACAGCAGGTTGAATCACAGTTATGAGTCTTCTGTAAGTTTTTCAAAAGAATAAGTACATATTGAAAAGTTTTTTGGGTTCTTTGCGACATCTTTGCTAACCACAATTTATCTTCTTGTCAGTTTTTATAACACTGAATAAGAAGTATTACCTGTATTTTCTTAAACAATCCTGAATTTCTATATAGTTATTTTCATTGTCTTTAAAAATCATTGTATTTCAAGCTCAGTGATAGTGTACTGCTCCTATTAACCAGAAGTTATGAATTCATGTTTCATTTCTATAGATTCTTTTCACTTATCAGTGTTTTAACTTAAAATTCCATATTAAATTACTATTTCATTGTACAGTATGAAAAGTTACTTCAGTTTCTGTTATGTGCCACATTACAGCCATGACTAGAAGAACATAAGATTGAGTATATAAATTGATAACTGGTAAATCACCTGGATAAGGCTGTAGGTGTTCTCCAATGGCTCGTATTCCTCTTACTCCTTTCACATCTTCATAAACTACTTCATTGCTGTTCAGCAAGGATTTATGTGTCATGTGATGGGGAGACACTGAAGCTGTTAGAGCTGATGCTGCCCATCCATGTAAATTATGACTCTTACTGATGCTGTAAACACGACCCATAGATGAATTTGACCAGTAGATACGTTCTTTGTCAGCAGTGATGGAGGTTGGAGGAAGACCTAAAGACAGCAGAGGTTCATTTATTACCTTATAAAAACTCAGCCAGTAGGATGTATGTATCTTAAATATCTTTCACAATGATGAGTTTATTCAAAATCATTTAAATCATTAGAGTTCTGTAACAATAATATCCACATTTTTTTCTTTTTTAAAACTAACATTACAATACAACAGAAACAGACAACAACACTGTGAAAATTAAGTAGATTATTAATGGTTTATTTCACAACTTTATTACTAATCATCTCATAACAGAATCATAGCCTAGAAAACCTTGTAATGACAACACATGAAATGATTTTTATTCAGTATTAACTATATTAATGAATGGCCCTGAAAAACCTACCTAGTTCCTGAAGATTACTGCTTACATTGACAGAAATGGAAAGACAACAGACCACGTACACCAAATGAACACAAATAAAACAAAACTAATACTAATTATTCTTCAGTATTTTCTATATTTTATTAACAGTCCTGTAAACCTACCTAGCATATGAAGATTACTGCTTGCATTGATAAGTAGTTGACAAATGCATCCCATCATGTCAGATGACCAGATATTTCCATGTTGGCCATCTACCCACAATAATACTGGTTGGTCCTTCTGTGACCAGTCTATTGTAATGGCCTTCCCAACCTGAGGCTGGTGAAAACAATTACATTTCTGAAACTTTTCTTCAGTATCTTGTACACTGTGTCTTTTCTTAAGAGAATGTGAGTCAGAACGTTGCATAAAAAATGGTCGAACATTTTTACCATTGATATCACAAGCCATGAGCTGAGCCATGTGGTTGTCGTGCAGCAGTGTGTAAATGAGCGTGCTGAAAAAAGAATAAGAGACAAAAGTTGTTAAATACAAAAAACTAAATATCTTATTGATCTTTAACATAAAGTATAAGACCTAAAGATTATTAATTACTGATATGTTAAATTAAAAATGAACCCACATTAAATTAAATATTTAAAAAGGACATATTAGATATACATGCAATCAAATTCTATATTTGAATATACATCTAACTAAAATTACATTAAGAACCTTATTAGAATTTAAAATATAATCTTCTTCTTTGCCAATTGTCAAAATAAAATACTTTTACTTATATTTCTTAACAGTATAAATATATACTATGTTGTTGTTGGGCTTAGGATTCTTCTTCAGTAGATGTATGTG